TCTTCGTTTTTACATTCTAAATTCTGGATTTTCACGCATTTGTATATTACTTGAAAAAAATATTTTTTCGACGAGTGGTTAATACGAGAGAAAGAGTCTGTGAATTCTCTTGCACGATTGTTGACGAAATCTCGCAGTTCAGTCGAAAATTACGAGTGTTAATTGCTTTGACAATGCGATGCAAGTTTGATTAATCAGATTGTCACGCCTCGCGTACTGGAATATTATTCGTTGTAACATCCAGCGAGTGAGACAAATCTTTTCTATTCAGATGAAATCTGTGTGTTTTGAAAAAGGTTTTTGTTTTTCTTTTTTTCTTTTTTTTATTAAAAAAACGCGCGTCTCTGATTCCAGCGACCCCCATTTCTATCATTATTAGACGGATCGCGTTCGTCGAAGCAAATGAAACGGAAATCTTTATTGCACGATCAATATCGTCCATTATGTACCGCGACCACTGAGATTTTGGCTCGTGGATTGGGAGATTCTCCACAAGGTTCCGAGCAATCGTTGTTCCTCGATCGTCTGCTTATTTCTATGAGACGGCGACATCAATTCTCTGTCGATACCAGAACTCCAAGTTGTTCCGAGCTTGGAACATCGTTACTTCATTAGGAATTGGAACCAGCGACCCGAGTAATGATTGAAAATCATAGTGGTGGCAAGTCAAGGATTCAGCTCACGTGCTTCAACTCGTAGAAATGTCGTCTCTCTCAAATTTAACGATTTCTCGAATGAACTTAATTCAAATACTTTGCACCTTTAAATTATCCACAAGTTTATACGTTGCACTTTCAGATGGTTACATTTTCACTGAGAAACGATAGAGATATTGCATCGACTAGTAGATCAGATTAAAGAAATAAGTAAAAAGAAGATATCAATGGACGAGAAGTATTTTCTTTCAAGGATTTGTATATTTTTTATTGGCAACGCAGGAGGAGATCAGTGACAAAAGATGATTTAGATTTTTAGCGGAATATCTGTCTAACATGCACGAGCAAAATACGATGAAATAGCTATATTCTCAATATCTTCTTTTCTCTCGTTGAGTGAGTGACGCGATTTCCACGAGGGGAGGAGATTTTT